TTCATCATATCCCCTCCTCTTATATATTCTCCATTTTCTATCTTACCATTTACCCAAGATTAGATTAGGACAAATTCTTTTACAGGAATAACAGATGCAATATTAGTAGATGAAAGTGTAATAATAATATCACTTAAAATATTATATTATCGTTTTAATGTAAATATAGCACGTCTCATAATTTATAGATCCCTCCTTCATTAGTTGGAATTTAGACAAGATCTCAAATGTGAGATTGCGTGAACTTGTGATGGATGCATATTTCTTAGGTTAGGGGATAGGTTTTGTTGTAGTTTTGGCCTTATTAGGCAACATAATATCAGGTAGGACAGCTAAATCCAACATAGATATCCATTTAATGTTTAATTAAGTACCACAATTCCACTAATTAAGCCTAAATTATTCCATCTTACCCTAATACTTATTAATTTAATTAATCATGTATTACTTTTATTATCTTTCATACCATACTTAGCCGAAAAGCATCATTTATGCGCGACTAAACCTGACTAAACTCTGATTTTATACCAACTAATTATCAGAATTTGCCTATGATAAAGTCACTAAAGTGTCAAAACATGTCTCTGCTGGTTAAACTAAAAATTAGTAAACAACTAAGCAATCCAACTTAGTTCTGTCAGAAACTCAGAACAATTATAAGTCTAAAAGCAAGTTTAGTGAATAATTAACCCGACAATTAACAGCAAAGCTAATGTGTCACGATGAAATAGACATGTCAGATTGTCTTTGATCATTGGGGATATGGACTGACGATGACCATGTGGTTTTCTTCGTTAAGTATTTTTTAACTGTATGATCTATTACACAGGATGTAAAAGTCATATAAAGAAAAAACAAAACAAATAAACATTGCATGTTCAATATTGTAGTCCTGTGACATCTGACATGTCTCCTCCAATGTGTTTAGAGAGGAGGAAGGAATATTATGAGCCAGCTAGCATACTAAATATATGCTTTACTTTACTGTATACCCACGTTTTTCTATCTGTAGATTGCTAAAAGAAAAAGGGGGAAGTATTCATTTTTGTTTAATTACCAATATGAGTGGAGAATATGGTTTTGGAGTGGACTAACCAAATGACTTACGTTTAAAGACAAAGTGACATAAGTTTGTTAATAAATCAATCAATTTGTGTGTGTTTGTGTTGGTGGGATCCCCACTACCCCCACCACATACTCCTATTCACAACCGTGAAAACATTATCTTCTACTTCTCTTTGACTCCTCATTTGGATGTTCTTCAAGATATATAATTAAATAGCCAATAGGTGTCCTCATTTTCACTCATCTTATAATGTATATATATATATATATATATATATATTTTCCTATCTATTTATTTATTTATTTTACATCTTTCTCACTTTCGGCTCTTGTTAGTACCTTGATTGCAAGATGGACATTCTTTTGTT